ACTATTTGACTTAGCCAAGCATGTAACATTTGTACAATAATCTCAATGTTTGTTGAAGAAATGGAACAAGCTTGCTACAAAAATTTACTAATGAAGAACCCTACAAAATATCTCGAAAAAGTTCTTAACCTACTTTACAAGAATTTTTTGCCGATATTGAAGACAGCTCATTTTTTGAACAAAGCTTTTTGAAGCAAGAGTAGCCTTGACACATGCACTACGGCACAAAAGTTTTTCTTCTCCTACCTAGTTAGAACTCAGAGAATCCGATTAATCAAAAGCTGCCGTGTAATTCTCCCACAAAGCCAATGTGGGAGCCACTTGAAACTCCATTCATTCCCTTCATACATAGCACCGATGTCAAGTGCTCAAAAAGCAAGAAGGATTTCCCAATGCACCCGACGGCAACAAACTGAAACTCAATTTAGCCTTACGGTCATTGCTCGATGGGCTTTACATGGTCGTCTGAGAGAGTGATTCCATCATATATCATTAATTTCTCTCTTCCACTGATCTCAGAACATCCAGCAAAAACAGATTTTTGACTCAGTAGGGGATATGTTAGTTCTTAAAAATGAGCAATGTGATCAGTTTGTTTAGATTAGCAGCGCGCTATCTTTACAGCTTTCCGCGTGAACGAAAAATTATTGTCGAGCACGTTTACTAAAACATAATCTCTTTTTTCTCAGAGTCAGGTGACAATGGCCTACAGCCGCATCTTCAGTAGCCTAGAGTATGGACCCCCAACCACATTTACAACACCACGCCAGAGAACTGCAGCACGATACCAGTGTAACGGCTCCGCGATGCGAGTGGCTCCGCGTAATCGTTCGACTAAGAGCGTGATCGGTTGCGTCTACTGCTTTCTCCGCCGGACCACCTTAGTTGATAGCGGCCAAATGAGGGTGCATAAGGCTACGCTGATAGCGACATTTGCCTCTTGGAATCTTGTCTTTATCAAATCATTGTTATGAGGATCAAGCGTTGGATATGGCACGCCACATTTGGGGAGTCGTACTGAGAGGTCAGAAAGAGGGAGTCGGGTCATTTTCGAGGTGGCAGTGATGTTAGCGACATGGTGTCGTTCATCAATGTCGCATAGTCTCAGTATGCAAGATACCAGCATTGATGTTTGGCCTACCGTCCTATACATACGGTAAGCATGATAAACGAGCCCTAAAAGCATAAGAGCATCTTTTCGTAATCAGCATGTCAAATAACACCTGTGGGCCAAGCTTCAGCGAATTTTGAAATTTCCAAATATATGGCCACTGTATTGAGATAGTCATTTTCGAGCATGTTAACTTTTTTCAAAGGTAAGTTAACGAAAAGTCATTTTCGAGCATGTTAACTTTTTTCAAAGGTAAGTTAACGAAACTTGAAGATTATCCTCGCTCAAATATCTAGGACACTGGATAAAGCCCAGCCTCTTGAACAAGCCGGATTCCGTAAAGGATTCAGCTGCATCGACCACATCCGAGTCGTCACAAGGGTTTTTAAGATCTGTCGGGAAACCAACTAACACTAATCCTCACCTTTGTTGACTACGAAAAGGCTTTCGACAGTGTGGAAATCAACGCCGTTTTAGACCTTCCCCCCCCCCCCCCCCCCTATATAAGAACAATAGCGGACTGCATACAGGAAGCACCACAACGATACAGCTGTTTGACTACCCGCTCCATATCCACATTGGAAAAGGAGTCCGTCAGGGCGACACCTTGTCGCCAAAGCTGTTTACTGCCGCATGCAATGGTGCATGCAGTCACTCGATTGGGATGAGAAGGGGATACGAGTGGATGGACGATACCTTTCGAATCTCCGTTTCGCAGATGATATCGTTCTATTCTCGAATTCGTTAGCGAAGCCGAAGAGCTGTTGGAAGTTGAATGAATGCGGGAGAAGGATAGGGCTCAAAATTAATCGGACGAAGACGCAGTTCATGAGAAACAACTGGTGCAGCGAAGGCAGTTACACTTGAATGGATCACCGGTAGAGGAGACCACATCCTACGTCTATCTAGGGTGCACCATCAACATGAACAGCGATATGAAGGACGAACGTAGCAGAAGACAGAGAGCGGCATGGGCAGCATTCGGACCATTGAGAGAAGCTCTAGACCATCTTGTTGACCCGAACTTACCTGCTCACTTTTTGATGCTACAGTTCTTCCAGCTCTGTGTTACGCAGCCGAAACCCTGGGCTGACACTTTAGCAACTACGAAGGCGCTAAAAACAACACACAGAGCGCTCCACAGAAAGCTTCTGAAGATAACGAAGTTGAAACAGTATAAACTTGGTTCGGAGCTCTGATCTTAAGCAACTTTCGCGTCTAAAAAATCCAGCAGAGTGCGTCTCCAAGAATAAACATAGATGAGCCGGCTGGGATATAATGAGAAGAGAAGACGACAGACGGACTAAAAAAACTTTGGAATGGACACCAAGAGGTTCTAAACGTCCACGTGGTAGACAACCGAAGAAATGGTGCGACGTATTTGTTTTTTATTTCGTTAGCCAGCTGAAGTCTAATTCAGGATCAACCAGCAATCGCAAACACGTACCAAGACATTCATGGATGACGAGTGCCCGAAACCGCAACGAATGGTCAAAAGTTGGGGCCCTCGCGACGAGTGAGGACGGGCCATCTGAGTAATCTAAGTAATCTAAGTAAATATTAAGCCACTCAAGGAGATGGTCATTCTCGAACATGTTATATTTGTTACAAAGGTAAGGTAACTAATTCTTTTCGCACTTGATACAGAGAACTACTATTTCTTTGCTTACCTTAAGAATTCTAATCTAAATAACCTTCGAACCATGGAACTAACAAGGGAAGGATACCGAGGTGGTTCCACAGGAAAAGTACACTATCTGATAGAGCATGGAACGCTGATTCCGAATCTGCTTTCGGTATTTGCAAAGTGCTTCTGGGAGGGACAATAAAATCTTTCGAAACTGTAGTCCGTGAACTTGGAGGGTATCATGATTACTGCCAGGGCGCTTCGTAATAGCTTCAATCTAATAAATGTGAGCTAGTCGTTACTTCATTCAAGTGCGGAAGACCTCAACACTCGTTTTTACCTTAACCAAAACCCTGAATTTTTGCCTCAGAAAACTGTTATTACTCCCTTCCCAAAAGCGCCGCGCAGATACCAGAAGTAGTTCGGATTTAGCATTCCATGCTCTATGAAACAGTATACATTCCCTGTGGAAACGCCACTTCGACCAAGTATCCTTCCCTTGTAAGAGTCAAAATCTCGTTTTTCCATTCCTTTTTCAATATCTCAGAATAGAGGAGACTGGTCAGGCTCAAATCACTTTTGCGAAGATTATGAGGATTAGGCTACATGGTACATTTGTTCTCGCCGCCCATTCCCTTGCAATTTACGCAGTAGCCCAGCTTCGCATATTACCGTAATCCACTATTTTCGCGGGTTTTCTATTTGCGTAGGTGAAAAAACGAGTTTATCTTTTCCTAAGAGAAACAGTTTTGAATGAAGATCCTGCTATGTGGAGAAGAAAATTTAACAGTAGCAACCATATAAAAAGACACTTTCGAATGCTTTGCAGATAAGTTAATGGGGTGTGGCGCTACCCCCGCACCCCATTAATTTACCTCCAAAAAGAATTTTGGAGGTAATTTAACGGGGTAACAAGCGAACACAATATATAAGTATGATAGCCTAAATCTCTTAGTTCTCAGAAGAGTGATTTGGGCCCGATTCGTGGTCCTTCTGAGTAAAAGTTAGTGAAATGACAGCTATTAAAAGCAAAAAATACGGCGGACGAGATTTTGGCGTGCTTCTAATTCCATAGTTTGATGGTTATTTGGAGCACGATTAATGATATGGGTGAAAAGGGAGTAGTGTTTTGTACCGAGTACAGAAAAACTTAGTTAATTCACCTTTGAAATATAGTTAACCATGTTTGAAAATGACAACTTCGCTTGAGTAGCACAATATTGGGAATCCTCAGAATTTGCGGAAACTTGGCCGAAGAAGGTTATTTAACATTGTATTTACGAAGATATCACTAAATATGTTTGGTAGAGCATTTACGCTATGTATACGGAAGGCAAACGATTATGCTGGTGGGGAAGAAGAGTACTGAGACAGAACTTAGGGGGGGGAGGGTCGTAACCGGCGCTTGCGTGCCACACCTCTTGCTCGATTCTGATCGTTGTATCTGCTTGACTTCGTTTTCAACAGCTCCTGCAAAGATATTTTAGCATTGCACGGTTGAGCATCAAAATGTTCCTTGGGGTTGGATGCACTATAGCATCAGAGTTCCTGGATTTGCAGATGACCACCTTGCGCGAGTGGTGCGGGAGTTGCATGAATCACTCGGAGTGGGCCTCTTGCGGCCGACATTGGCGGAAGAACCCAGAACATCATTGTGAAGCCTTTGAACATCGACAGCGCGCGATTACGCGGCTTATCCTCCATGTTATCGTTTTGTGTCACTGTTTTGGGAGTCGTAGAGTGCGTGGCTTTAGTATATTTCTTTATTTGATTTTAGGCAGTCAGATACTTATATAACACATTCACGACAGGGCCGATTTTTCGCTGACTGCCATTTCGGACCAAAGCATATTTCGCAAAATTGAGTTTGCGAAATAATTTTAGGTCACTGATGGGCCCTGTGCTCTGAAGTGTTAGTCTTTTGGGAAGTACTCTAAAAGGTGTATGCAGGAGTTTACTCGGCTTGTCTAAAAGTTTCACCGTGAAGTAGCAAAATCAAAAACTTCAGAAAACATACGACCCACCGGTGGTTCGTATGTGATAACCTACTTGTTCGTTTTTTATGTGGGTTATTTACTGGGGTAACCGCATCGAATGGACACCACGAAGCGCACGTCGGTGGCGGATGCGTTATATCCTAAAGTGCGGGATTAGCAATGCAGGGCAGTCGAGCACAAGGCCAGGGATTCTAGGCCCACCGAGCAGCAAACATTGTCTTCAATTTCTACCCTTTTTGATCCGAACAACAACAAAATTTCTTTTTGCTTTAATGCATTTCTAGATATTCGAATTTTATTTTACATGCACATGATAAAACTTCGACAAGACTTCGTCAACATATGGTGTGAAGACGAAAATGCTCGAATATAAAACGAATGGAAGAATGAAAATGAAAGAACACTATGGTACAATATAAGGCACATATGTTAATTAAAAGTATTGAGTTTTCTTGGGCGTATAGTCGTTCCCGTTAGCGTCATCGATTGAGCTTGGTGATCTGACATAAAATCAATAATTCGATCGTGCTGAGGGGAAGCTACGTAATGTAAGCAACATACCTGGCACTGTTCACCACTTTTTCTAATATTTTCTGACTCATCTTAGAAATTTCGCTCATAAGGAGTCGTTTCTGCTCTGTCGTTATCGACGCTTCGTCAACCTGGAAAAGGGGGGGGGGATAGAAACAAAAGCAAACAGGCAACAAAAAAAAAATAGAAAACTTACCAGCATACGCGCTTGAATAGTTTTATCGGCATACATTTGTAATTGCTCAAGGCACTCTTGTACGTGACGTACTAATTCTGAAATACACAGATGTAGTGGTAGTAAAAATGTCAACAAGTGGTTCAGTTTTCCAAAAATGGTAAAAAGTTTACTTTAATCAGAAAAAATGAAGCGTAGCAATAGCAGAGGATTAGGTAGTCCTAAATGAATTCTTGGGAACTTTTGTCGAGATTAAACAGAACTCAGAAAGACCATGGAAACAACTTGATTTTCCCTTTTCGGATAGAAAAGATTCTAACAATGTAATACCAGATAGTGGACGGCGCATTGGACAAAAAGGCAATAAAGAGTTCACTCTTCAGATCCTGTAGAAAATGGTAGCAAGAGTAAAAAAAAATTTTATAGACTTTAAGTGATTCCAAAAAGCCTTTTGAAGAAAATTTACTGGCTGTGGCATGGTCTCTGTTCTGAAATTCTGCTTCAAGCTTGCCAAAATCTTGAGAAACATCCTTCAGCAAGTCAAAATGATTTGGATTTAATAGAGATGTTTTTAAAAAAGATATATTATGCAACAGCAATCTTGACCGCGCCATAACAGATTCAGTGATTTCGAGAATATTCGAAAGTACTCACAGGGGAGGGAAGATGCTCGTAGCTCCAATGCAGAGTTATGTGAAATTTTTTACATATTGCTCATGATTTACCCACAGAAAAACAAAGAATCTGTCAGAATATTTGACAAAAATTTGCTTGTGGTAAAAAAATTTCATCGATCTAACTCATTAACGATGACGCCTAATTTTGCATAGCGGCTCTGTGGGACGACACGATATTGCAGAGCATTTTTGGGTTCTGTATCTTTTACGGTTATTTACGAAATGTATGATTGTTTTGTAAGCAGCTGTAAATATTTTTGTAGACAGTGAGGTCTACAAGTCCCAAGAGCCCCGTGAACTGCTCCAAGTACAAAAAATCGGAAAAGATACTAGGCCCGGAAGGGGTATGCTTTTGCAAGAGTGTAGGCCACCGGTGGCCCATGTCGTCTCTTACAGCAAAAAGTGCGTGGGCCAGCGGCGGTCCAAATCGTTGTCAATGGGTTAAGACAACCGTTCCACCATTCGGTGCAAAGGGAAGACAAAAGGTTAAGCAAGTTCAGAGACAAAATGTAGAAAAAACGTGGCAGACAGACATTTTTAGATAACTACGCAACCCTAGAAGATGAAGCCAGATTCAAAAAAAGTAGATCAAACATGGGAAAGTGGGCAAAAGACTTTTTGCGGGTGGTATTCAAAAGCATAAACACTTACGTTGACAAGATGATCCATCTTCCATCAATGTATGCCATTCATTCGAATTCACAGATGATCGTGGCGAGTCGTCACTACCCAAATCTGGTCCAACCATATCTTCTCTGCAAATTTTGACATCAAATAAAGGCGTGAACAATTTGTCAAAACAAGTGTCAATATTGCCAAAGCGATAACAATTCCAGCTCAAAACAGTGTCCCCAATTGTACTTTACTTCATTGTAAATCAAAGTCAGGGATCGAATGAAAATTACGAATGCGAAACTAAAGAATTTTGCACTTGTACGCGACGATGCTCCTAGCGAATCGCCTGTTCGCAGCACGCTCTATCGCTATAACAAACATCAAAAAACAGATTTTTAGCTCTGCACTATTTACACAATCGAAAAATCTCAAACATCCTCTCATAGAATCGTGCGCTTCACGTTTTTTTCTTAGGTTCTCAAATCGTACATCAGGACAACGACTGAGAACAGACTAGAGCAGCATAGGGAGCAGGTTTGACTTTTGCAACGAACATAGCATCGATAGCGGGGAAAAAACTTGCCCGATTGAGGCGCATGGTCGCTTTTGATAAACGTCACACAATGAAATGCTGATATGGCGGCAAACAACAGTTTTTGGCAAAGCTAACATGGCAGCCGAGAACTTTGGATACTGTAGAATTCTGGCATAAGTCCGAAAACAAGGTCTGAGCAGCTCGATCATGTATTCTATGCATCAAAAAGTCCTGAGATTTAAAATCTTGTGCTCCGAGAAGATACCGTATAACAAATGGAATTAACAAATGTCGAAAAACTGATTCTAGGGCTTTATAGGTTCCGAATTAGCAAAATAGTATCCCATTTAGATACAGTAAGAAGACAGCTCAGGAAATTTTGAAATTTTGCAGCAAGCCCTCGATAATTAGATGTTTACTGCAAAAACTACCGCATAAAGATTGGCAAATGCCCAAAAATTGCTTCTACGCGATTTAAAGCTTCGATTTGCCATATAAGCAAGCATTCTATTTAAAACCACTAATGCAATGTTTTCAGCAAAGCTTTCCAGCCAAATTCTTAGAAATGTACGAAAGTTCTACTGTAAAATACTGTAAAAAGGTTGCTTTGGAAAACAAGTTGCGCAGATAAGAAATGGCTAAATTAAATTGTGCAATTCCAGAAGGTTAACGACGAGGCTTAAGTCACGCAGGATAAGCACTATTCTAGAAGGTTGGCGTGGGGAAGCAAGTTGCGCAGATAAGAAGAGGCTAATGTGTGCAATTGCACAATTATCGGGAACTCAATTATGAGGCGCAAGTCCCACAGGTAAAGAGCGACAACTTTAGTGCTCTCTCAAAAGTTGTGCTCAACTGTATAGGAAACCAGAAAAACAGCGATAAGTACATTATTCGACCCTATGACTTATCCTACTCCAAAATGTGCAGTTGCAGACATTTGCAAGGAAAACTATTTGACTATACACGAGCAGTAATGAACGCGATGGCTTACTATCACACAAAGTGAATGTCATAAGATGATTCATGACTAAGCAATTTTCTCGCATAAAGTCAATACACATTTTTTTATGGGTAATTTCGACTTCAACGTTCAGAACGATAAAAAGTTATTGCCCTTTGAAATCGGAAATTCCAAAAAAAAAAAAACGAAAAGAGCCAGATCTCGTAAAGAGATTTACAACCTACCCAGCCATTTTTTGTGCTAAATAATTCGGTGTCCTTCGCGGCGATACGGCCGTAGCCATTGCTGAAGATGCATATCGTTGTTGATCGAATAGTTTACGAGCCGTTAATCCACTAAATCTTGATGATGCTGATGTCTCCATGGCAGAGACTGTCCTAAAAATATTTGTTAAAAATTACGCCACTTTTAGCGATTTTTCAGCCAAAATTAGCTCAAAATAGAGCACAACTTCTATGCTTTTCAATTACGCGCCAAAATTCAGACTTTTCCAGAACCAAAAGTGCCAAATCGATTTCAATAAAAACAATAGAACCGACCTGTTGTTACCAGCCAACAACACTCGTCGATTAATGCTCTGATTTAATGGGCTGGCGTCACTCCCATTGCTGTCACTTTCCTCACTCGTCTGTGGTCGTGTCGTTCGATTACGTGGATGATAACGTTCAACCTGGAATAAAGAGGATTACTGGTGTATAAATTTGTGAAAAAGTGATGATAAACAGAATTTTCGCAAAAAAACAGTTTTTCTGGAGCGCAGGAAAAATCTATACAATATATAAAGAATCGAATCAATTCAGAAAACATCAAATAGGGGGAAACCGCGATGCGGTCCCAAGGCGCGTGGATGCAATCTAGCGCTTTCAACTGGTTAACTAGTTATAAAGTAAGAAATGAAAAAATTTACAAAAAATCATTTTTTCTGAAAAGCAGGAAAGATGATAGACAGAGATATAGCGTAAGAGTTCATCTATTCAATTAATCCAGAAAAATCAAAGGTCTCACCGCTGCTCTAAGAGCTAGTGAAAGTGACTCAAGGCGATCAAAAGAGTTTTCCTGCACTGTAACATCCCCTCCCCCTCTACCGAAGAATTTATTCTTACCAATCACTTATGTAAACGAAGAAAACAGGAAGCTAGATTGCAAAGTTTGCAAAGTCACCTAGCATGACTTTCTCAGCAAAAGAATTCAAATCTGCTAACGAATGACACGATTTGATGTGACATATGACACACGCTATTTGACATTACGACATTTCCAGCCCGATGAAAAACTGATCATCAGATGGGAAAGTTCTGCAACATTTCCAATGAGACTTGAAAATGCTGAGTTTATGCAGATTACATAGGTCGTTACATAGAACCTGTTACTCTGGAAGGAAAAACTTTTCCAGATGTTTTACCACATCTTCAAATCAGTTAGAGGGTTTTAGTATCTTGATCTATACATTTCACACATAAAAAATCCAATTTTTGAATTTTTGAAGTTTTTCTGAGCTATATTTGGCTTTCAACTTGCGTTATTGAAGAGCCCAAACTTCCAAGCTGTCCTCGTATTAGCATGAATGTTCCCAAAAGCTCATAGATATAGTACATATGATATCAAACTTTGCTGAACTTTCCAGAGTTTTGAAGAGGAAATTGAAAAGTTCGAAACTCATGTTACAACCTAAATCTTCTAATATTTTGTTTATGCAACCAGAAAGTTCTTGAAAACCTGAGGTAAATCTTTGAAAGTCACTTTGTTGCAGAAGTTCTAACTCAACAGCCTTTTATGCGGCAGGGTATATATTACCTCAAAGAAATTCCATATCACCATGGTCGAGTTAAACATCAAAGTTGTGCTTATGCGCGAAGTCGGATCAACTTAAATTATGGTATCAAATTAGGATTAGCTGTATGTTCTACAAACTTGTTTCTTCAGTTTCGAATTGAGCTGGCACATAGCTAAGAAGTGCACCTTTAGTCTTGAAAATACTTTGATCAGCAGAAGATAAGCTTAACCGGACTTGCTGCTTATCAACAAGAAAATTTGGAGCAGATAGTGGGTCCAGCGGAGAACTTAACGGAGTAGTAATTTATTTACGGAGCCATTCTGATTTTGTAGATTAAGAGATGCACTTTGAGGCGCCAATTACAAATCTCTTCTGCTATATGAATCTCGGAACGTGATTACGAGCGTTTTTCGTTTGATTTGCAAAGTTTAAAGTGGACAAGGCTAGAGCTAGGTCAAATCGCTCGTTAAAATTTATAGTAAAACGAGTTCTAATGGGAGATATCGTATTCGAAACTAAGAAATTCATGAATATCAATGTCAATAACTTTGGCTATAAAAATTGCAGGAATAACGATGTTAGAACTTCATTGAGAAAAAGAGGAAGCGATTAGAATGTATCGAATCGAATGTATAAAGAATCGCAACGCCAATTCAAAAAACATCATACAGCGGATAATCGCGGTGAGGTCCCGAAGCGCGCGGATGCAAATTTAGCAACTTACTGATTCACCAGTAGATCAAAAAACAGAAGGTTTCCATCTTACATATTTGTTGAATTACGACCGGAATTGCTTTTTTGCAGTCCATGCTTTGTAACTTTGAAAGGACAAGAAAGACATTTGATAATTTCCATGTTTACCGTCCTGTATGTAACGATAGGTGAGCGACTTTATAAAATTTATCAAATTCTAAGTGCCCTACATTTTCGGATTTTTTAAGCTCACCTTCTTCTGTACAGCGCCACGTCGTCGCATTTTTTCACCACATGGACTACCAGGATCTTCATACAGGGAGGTTTGAGTGAGGTCGGGATTGCTGAAAAGGGAAATTTTATGTGGAGAAACTATCTGAAAAATCCACTCTAGAACTTCAGGCGAAGCGACTGTTCTAGCAAACTCTTATAATTCTTACCTAGCCTTTCTTAGCATGCTGATCGTATTCTGTAGACGTGACGCCAGATTCGTTTCTGTTTCGCCACCACCATCAGCTGCACTTCCAGATGCTGATACGTTGCCAACACTACGAGCTAGTAATCGTGATTGCATCAATGACGAGGCACTGAAATATCAGCTATCATTTGATCATTAGATTTCTGTCGAACAAAGCGCGAACAGATTCGTAAGCGGTTGAAAGTGGCCGGAATCTTGAGAGGAAATAGGGTGAGGGGGAGAAGAGGAAGCTCTTAAATTTTTTCTTTGAAGTGTAGCGTCAACTCCTAGTCCGAAAAAAATGAGGTCCTCAAATGTTTGACAACATGCGACTTGGAATTCGAAAAGAAAAGACTTCAAAATAATCTTTAATACTTACAATTACTATTTATAAATCATGTATAACACATTCCCGAAATCTCCTGCACCCCCCCCCCCCGGTCGGGCCTTCTTCCACATGCGCTGCCTGATAACTATTTATAACTTGTTTATTATTTTACGCACCTAGGCTCCTGAGTCTCTTCAGAGGTTTTCTTGTCACTGAAAATTCTGTTTAGAATTTTACTGTGTTTTGGCTTGACATATTTTTGTTATGATTTTTGAGAAAAAAACTGACATTACATCAAATTTTGTAGAAAAGAAGAAGACATGTAATTAGCTCTAATAAGAAACTTACTCCTCAATTTCTACTTGATCTTCAATTTGAAGTAAAAACCTAAACATTCGAAATGCTTACTGAACAGGATTAGTGTAAAGTATCCATAAGTAACATATCCACCACTCCCATTTTCAGAATTTTTATGCTTTTTTCTTGAATTTTCTTCTACGGGCGGAGGGTAGTTAAAAAAACAGCATTCTAGGAGGATTCGCTAAATCTGTGAAACTGGTAAAAAAAACTTGTTCAAAATGCATGGAATAGCTTTTAATTTACATACGAATCCCATAAAATTTTTGGTCTGCTTTTTTTTTTCTCGATTTCTCACTCTCCATATTCAAATTGGGTCCAGTAAAGTTGCCAACTAGCCAAATCAACTCCAATCATAAATAACCCGCGAGGAGATGTACCAGCCATAAATGAGCATATGTAATCCAGCTTCATACAATTTCGGCCCTTTTAAAAACATTGAAACTAGCTCAAAAAACTGTGCTATACAACTAACTCCTTTTGAACGATTGCCAGGGCGGTATGTATGAATCGCCCGTCCGGGTAAATTACCCGGACAAGTATTCCGCTTCATAGCTCGGTGCTCTGGGGATCTCTGTTCTTCCTTGTTTGTTCATCTTTTGGAGGCTCTACTACACTGCTATTGCAGCACAATGAATAACAGCATTTTGCTGTATAAGCTGAGATAAGTTACTTGTATGATCCCGAAAGGGATCTTCCACTGATCACGCTCTTTTTCAAAGTTATTTACATCCGCAAAAACTCAATGAAAACGTCACAGTTTTGCTGTCGGTTTATTACGACAATGTGGCGACGCATGTTTGTGAAAGAAATAAGTGAAAAATCAAGTTGACAAAATCTTCGATGAGCCTGTGCTCGCGAGTTGGGCTTTATCGAAAAACTCAAAACTTGCACATTTCATCTGTGCTACTAAAAACATGGAGGACTATCGTAATAGATCGACAGCAAAACTCTGTGACGTTTTCATTTAACGTTGAAAATGATGATCAGCTTCTGAAATATGAGCGACAAGCAAAGACAGAGATCCCCAGAGAACCGAGCTATGAAGCGGAAACTACCTGTCCGAGTAACTCACCCTGGAGGGCGATTGATACATACCGCCCTGGAAGTCTATGTAAAAAAAAATTTCAGCCCGAAATCAGAGCGAAATTTTCTTGTAAACAACCCAAAAAACAGCAGAGTGCAATTTTTCAAGCTTCAAAATGTAAGCGAAAATCGTTTGATGAAAAGTTCAAACTTCAATGGAGAATTTCTAGCTCCAACTTTGAAAATAGCTTCAAACATGGAACACAAAGTAAAGTTGCTGAATCAATGCATTTCCATCCGCGATTTCAAAAGTTCGGTAAATTAGAAAGCGGTTTTGGACACTTAAACAGACTAAAAACTCTAAAAGGATGCGTTTACTTATGAATCTAGGAGAATATAAAAAAGAGCAACTTACTTCGATTGAGTCTGATCAGCATCAAACGTTCCGTACGCTTCAAGAGCGTTACCACCGCGTAAATTGCTGATACTGCGTGTCCGGGTCGGCGCGTTTTCATCTTGAACTTCAAAACGAAGGTTATCGGACGATTTACGGAGGTTTTCACTGGACTGATGGAGTCTAAAAAGCTTGTATAAATCATTAGCAAAAAAGCCTAATCTTTCATGGGAAAAGAAGGGCAAGGTGATTTATTAAGGTACATTGTTGTGATCAATAGCTTCTATTAAGCAGATGAGGTAAACTGGTAGCTGGACAAGAATGAAAAAGAAAAGAAGAAAAATTTTAGAATTGGTGTCAACCAATCAAGTCAAGTACACATCAACCTTGAATTCTAGAACGATTTCAAATCGTCTGGGGTTTTTCAAAATTTTATTTATTAGAAACTTTACTGTTTTTGTTGAAAAAAGCAGCATTACATCAAAAAATATGACAAGAAAAACTGGAAATTGGGAACCAAAATCTCATTGCAATTATGATCTACAAAATGGCCGTGATTACAGTAATTATGGTGATTTGTCTTCATAGATTATGGCCCCATAAAGCGAGGTTTTTGGGAGTGTTAAAATTGATTCTGATAGTTTTGCTCCTTTCCATATCAGTAGATCTTCAAATGCGAAGGAAAAGTCAAAACTAAGATCATCTGAAGGACTCTACCAAAATCTGGCTATGTGCACAACTTTTTTTCGCGCATTTATGCAAATTTCTAAACTTTTTTTGCAGCCATGTATTTTATTAACCACAATTTTCCCCGGGTTTATCTCTTCTTTGCCCTGAAATAAAGGATCCTTCATGAAAAAGACCAGCTATCCATTATTATCACATCCTCTAAATTTTGTCCGCCGCAAGAACTTAAGACTGTGCACAACTTTTCTTTTCAGGGTATTTTGATTTACTGCTGGAGCGCGTTTGCGTCATAGGCAACAAAACTTAGAGCATTGTAGTGCTTGAATGGGATAAATAAAAGTATGCGCCAAATGTTTGAAGGCAACGGTTTATATTTAACTCTGCATCAAGTTAAAACCATATGTTTGCCTACAAATACGTTCAATAAAAGTTCGAGGGTTTACATGGGAGACACACAGAACGGCATCATTGCTTGAAAAAATACTGACAAAATCAAAGGTTTCGAAAAATAAGTCAAATTGTTGAAGTCTTGATGAACTGTTCATGAAAAATTATTTTATATTGATTGATGCAACACTCCTCGAAAATAATTAGTCTATAACCTGGACAAGTTCCTAATCTGTTGAGCTCCAAAATTTCGAATAAGATACCAGTTTGATAAATTTGAAATGAAAGAAGTTGGCTAGCACATACTGCATTGACCGATAACAATAGTATACTGTAGGATTACGGTAGTTCAGAAACTCCTCTACTGACATTGATATTACAAAAAATCTAAAGCTTACTTGCTCCTTAGCGCAGCAATCCTATTCAGCGCCTCAGTGCTCTTCCTGGTATCAGCATCTTTGAGGTTCGTTCGTGAGCTGGCTGGCGTTAAACGAGTAGATACAGCAGTATAAGACATATCTGAGTCCTAAAACGAAAATGAAATGTCTGTGAGGCGGTTTGGATGAAAATTGTACATGTATACAGACCCATAAGCCTTTGAGATTCCAGCAGCTGATTAAACAAAAATAAAAAAATCCAAAAAATTCTTGCACTCACTCGTCGGCGTTGCAGCTCTTTCGTTAACTCTCGGCTTACGGTATTCAACGTTGGCCGAGCATTTTGTTGTTGATTCACCAGCATATGATTCGGACTTTGACTTCGACTTCGTAAATGCAAATTCGATGAGGTGTAATCGTCCGCTGAATAGAGAAATGATATAGGCAATCTTCTCACACACAGGGAATCCCCTAGAAAAACCACGCAAAAAACGAGAAGAAAATCCCCAAACGACCCAAAAAACGTTTATTGCTTTCTATAGAAAAGTACAACAATATGTAACTTTCGTACTAGCAAGGACGTGGATGAGTTTGTGGAGGTTTAGAGAGATTTGATCTGGTACCAAGCATTTCGCCCACATTTTTGTACTAGAAATCGAACTAATCATGTGGAAATGCTATAAATTTTTCAGTTTATGTATGGTTCATTAAGCATAAGTTTTTGAAAAAAAATCTCAGGTAACTTGCATAAGTCCGGCAAAAATTTGAAAAATTGAAGAAAAAATTGTACAAATACGAAATTTTTTCAGCGGTTTAACCTAATATAGGTTATTCAACCAAATGCATGCCAACAAAGTGCTGGAATGAAAAATAAATTAATTATGGCGAGAAAATTATAAGATTTGAAATAGTGAGCTTCAGAACACATTGTTGAAATTTTTCTGGATGAATCGAAAGGCTATACATCTTTTACATTTCAACCACTGCATTTGCCATAACCTACTGACATAGATTTGTACGAGCTGCTTTTTTAGGTAAAGAAGTAAACTTTCATAGTGTTTGATGAGTTTTTTTGCGGAATAGGTCTACTAAACGTTTGTCGATGTACAGCTAGTGATAATATACCAATCATTTCAGCGACAGTAAGAGCGACATCGAATTCAAACAGCTTCGAGTTTTTCAGATATATTCGTACTGAAAAAAAATTTTGAGCAAGAAAATTTCTTTTAGGATCGCAAAAAAGTCTGGTAATAAAGCATCAGTGGATGAGGAAAGCAGCTGATCATACAAGAAGCTAATCATTTTTTCTAGCTTCTACCCCCCCCCCCCCCCGCCTACCTCCTCCCTTCATGCTTTCTGCCTTTGCTTAAAAATGATCTACTTTTTGAAGATTTGTAAAATGCAATTTTTTTATAAAAAAACATCTATATCTTTGAGAGGTATACTTCAAATGGTTTCAGGTGGTTTTTTATGTCTTGGGACCTATTGTCATTCTGAGGAGCAAGAAAATAATAGATTTATTACTTTGGAAGAAGTGATAAAAAGAATTCAAAGTTGGGTGTAACAGATTTGGTGGATGCACTTGATGGGTATTTCGCTTCATTTACGATGCAATGAGCCAGGTAAAATAAATGAAAATGCTTCTAAAACACTTCCGCGCGCAATTTTGAAACGAGTTTGAAATTTGAAACATACAACAACGTTACTTCACAGAACTTGAGTACTGGAAAACAATCATGTCGAAAACTAGCCAAAGCCTATGTCGAAACAAACACCAACTTTTTTCAGCTCATCCAGTACGTGTACAAATTTCACAAGAAATACTTGGAAAGTTAAGCAATTGCCTAGTTTGACAAAACTTCAGAAATTTCAAATTTTTAGAATATATGAAACACATTCCAATAGCAGTGTGATATTTGGCCACATATACGTAAAATGAAATCAAGATCGCACAGCAACTTGAGGATTTAGTCTACCGCTCATCTATAAAGCTGTAACTTCTCTTACATGCATGAATGTTCGCTTGGTAAACCTGATCGAACCCTATAATCAACTTAGTAACCATTAAGCATACCCGTTACTTTATAAGTTGCAAAACTAGAACTTGCAAAGAAAATTTCAGGTTAGGAACCAGCCGATGCAAAGCGATAACTGCAGATGCGTATATTATCGCTACATATAATCTAAACGAATTCGTTCAAGCGAAAGTACGAATAGATTATAATGTTGTCGATTAGACGAGACGCAACTAAAGGGCAACCAAGGATGAACCAACGACATATATAGACAAGGATTGGCATGCTATTGCAGCGCGATGCGATTCTGCTTCGCTCCAAACGAAAAGGACTCTGACGATCAAAAACCAAGGAAAAAGCATTCGTTAAATGCAATCCAGGTAAAAATGGGTAGATGGAATTCTTATGTGGATACTGATTGGAAGGCCTTTACTAAGCCATAGCTCAAACGGCAGCTCATAAGGTTCGTTCTGCGCCGAAGAATTCAACTCCAAACTCTCGCCCAGCACCTACTCAAGGGCGCAGCCGCTCGTATTGATTACGGTATGGGCGAAAGTTTAGGATTGAATTTCTCGTTAACGAATAAGGCCTATGACCTCCCATTTGGACATTTGCTTAGGCAGGACCCTCCAAGTGGCTTCCATACAAGATACTCGAGTACCCAAATTTGCCTGGACCATCGAATTTAGCACAGCACGCCAAGCACCTTTTTTCGTTGAGCTTCTTCTAGGTACGGATAAACATTGGCGACGGCTACGATGATGACGATGATGATCAATCGCGTTCGGCTCTTCAGATCGCGATGAGAATCGCACTCGAAATTTTTCTGCCTCTAAATATATGGAAGCAAAGCGATTTTCTCTTTCATGGTAAGAGAAAATAGTGCGATGGGGTTAGTGTGCAAAGTTATTGCTTGCGATACTGCCTCTACCATTAGTGCTCTGGACTACGGTACATTCGCAACACGACACGGATTACGGTAATTACAGTAAGCTACGAGATACGAACTCTCTCGTAAACATGCATCGCGCCAAAATTCTGAAATTTTTTAACGTCACAAAAATTCATACTTAACCTTAAAATATCTTAGTATTCATTTTGTTGAAAATTACTTCCTCCATACCAACATTTCAACAATTACAAAAACATATAATTGTCGATGATTTTACCATAATAAGTGCATTTATCGAACTGTTTGTGTGCTAAACATTCCATAAACGATTTCGCAATAGCGACTGACATTTTTATGAACAGCTTTTAGTGTTTTTTGATGCAGTGAATTCATCAGAACACAAAAAAGCGAACATTTCGCAATACCAAAAAAAAGCAAAGCGACTCACGTCGTCTTGTGATTGCACTGGCTGCTGCTCCTGATGGTGCGATTGCTTGCATATTGGAAGTGGTTCGTTTCGGTGTCATAGTATGAGGAGACCAAACAGTTCGGGGCTGAAATAACATAGATATATGTTATGCATATAGTGTGCAAATACAGAATTTTGTGATAGTTATAATATTAATGGTGTTTTTTGAGACAAAAATCGATCAAGTAACAATCGTTGTAAGAAAATCATTTTGTACGAAAATCTAAAGAAAAAGAATATAAAATTTCAGTGAGGGATTTCTTGATTACTCAGTTACAGTTCATTAGCTGTATTGTTTGATTATCTGTTTGTTTTTCTTTTACATCGACGCTTCAAAGAGTTCTAAATGTTCGAAAAGACTCAAGAATGTAGGACTCTTATAATTACTGAAGAGGATAATAACGAGTTACCAACTGTACTTCCCTTTAATTCGGTTTGACGAATTGGAAAATGCGCCATTAGCTGTATTTACCTTTAATTCTTATAATGCTAGATGGAAAATACCTAATTTCAAGAAGGTATACATGCGCCCAATTTCGGCGATCAAACAGGTTTTACGAAACTGGAGATCAAAACCAAAAAGCACGAAGTAGCCATAGAATTGCTGAACACAATGCTTTAGCTCAAAGAAATACAATAATTTTAGAAGCTCATTCAATTCTTTCAAGCTGCAAGTTTATGAGATTAAACGACTATAACAGCAAAATGAAATTTCCATTTCGGAGGGAATCAATCATACTGATGAATGGCTAACAGCCATAAATGTCAAATACAATAAAGAAATGTGGAGAGGATGGGATAAAAAGTGGAGGCTAAATTTATTGAATTGCATATGTTAGGTTCATGAAAAATGTCGCTTGACAATGCAGATCTCTAATTTTCGCAGGATGGATCCAATCCAACTTCTTGATATAAATATTTTTCACCTGATATTATAGATAACCTCAATTTTTGCGCCACTTCATCACAGAAACATATTTTTTAAATTAAAAGGTCAATTGCTGATTCTGTCTAGATTTCTAGATTACCCTTACTTCTGTAGATGTTGACTCAAGTGAAGAGAAGCTTTTCACAATTCCAAAATTGACAAAATGGGATCAATATGTTAACCAATCTTACACAATAACCGTACTACTATTTTTGTTTTTGTAGCTTGAAGTGTCGTAGTGTCAAAATCTCACCTGAATATCGTGATCCATGTGTTTCTTAGTCAAGCTCACACGATCCGGTGAATCGCGTCGGAACTGCTGGAATCGCGACAGCGATGCGATTTGCTGCAGTCCAGACTGCGACGGCGTCACAGCCGGCGTCGTTGGCAACGACGATCGCTGTGTCATCATTGTCGCTGACTGAGGTGTTCGCGGCTGCGATGATGTCGGTTGGGTGCGATTCGTAGACAGAGGTGTTCGCGCGAAGCCCGTTTGTGACTCTTGAGGCTGTGGAGCTAAATATGGGTGGCTATTTAGCATAAGAAACAGGGAAAAGAAGTAGTAAAGCGAGTCCCAAAAAGAAAACACTTACCAAAGCCTTGATAATTCGGCGACATAGTGTTAGGGGCAGATGGTTGGAATATAATCGCTGGCGACCATTCTGGAATTGTGCCAAGTTCGCCAAGACAAAGACTCATAGAATAGCGTCGATTCATCAGTTTTTCAAGGACAAACTAGCGGTACACCCAGGTCAGATGTGCGATTTGAGTGTGCTAGTCTGCACCAATTTGTTTCCGTCCCATAGAGTTTTCACTGTGCACATTTTTCACGCAACATTTATTTCTCCTCACGTGTTTCCCGCCATTTTTTCGAATTTTCACATAAAAACTACACAAACTCACTCTTTTTGTAGATACCCATTTGGTTGCTGAGCGTCGACGAGGCCAGTAGGGGGTAAGTGGCTATGCGGCTGCTTTTTAGAGGGCCAGGTGGTTGATAGCGGTAAATAATAAGGCGTTAATGCACCTCGTTGCTAAGGTATTGATGGTCCATGCGGGAATTGAGCTATGGGATGTTCAATTAGAACCCTATGAGAATTTCTAGTGAAATATTAGCAATGAAAATAGAAAATTATTGGACGAATGCTAACGAAAACGTTTCTATAAGCCGATAAGAAGGAATAGAACTGATAGTGTAAAGTGCTTATATGAGGGCAATCAGCTCAAGAAAAAGATTTGGAATGCCAGAAATTTATGAGTAAGGTCGATCAACGACAATTTTTCGAGCTTTTTCCAAAATGGGAAATTGGAAGTCTATGTTCGCAATCCAGCAAGTGACGGCTTAAGTGTAGAGTACTTCAGTTTAGAAACGTACTCAAAATTCACTAAATTTTCGGCCTCACTTAGAAGAGATCACAAAGAATAAGATTGATGAATGAAATTAGATATTATATAAATCAACGCCAGCTCGATCAACTACGAAGGAGGGGTTACGAATGAAAAGGCTATGCCACGCCCCTTTTTGGTAAAATTTTGCTGCTCCCTTTGTGCCTTTCGGGAGGAAAATCTTGGAGACCTAACAAAATTTAGGCGAACCATAGATATAGTTACCATATGAGTTATCAGCTAAAATAGGCAAAAATGTTCAAAAACTGGGGATAAACACACTTCATAATCTTGAAGTGCTCAAAAATAGAATTTTAGTCGAAAACACCAGCTGGGAGTACAAGCCTTTCAAATTTACGTTTGGCCATTATTCATTAATTCTGGACAACATCCAACGCTTTCGATGCCCTTTTTGCAAAGAATATTGATCAGATGTAAAAGAAGTAGAGGGAGAGTGGATGGGTTTTGAATAACATAGCGAGGTGATGGGAAATTACTTTCGAAAACATGGCAGTTGAAGTATGATAAACGGGGGGGGGGGGGAGGAGTTTGATTGTGTCTAAGCATTTTCTTCGAGAACTGCCACAAAACCTCTAAAGACAGCAGGTAGACTCAAGACAACTTGCTCGATTGGAAAAAAAGAGAAGAAAACAGCATAAAGAAATGGTCACACTATGCTAATTGGAGTGAATGAAAGGAGGAATAAAAATTAGAAAAGGAACTATGAACGTGTAAATGTGTACATGGCTAAGGGAAGAATTATGGCTGTGTGTGAAGAGAATCGTGAAGAAGAAATTTTGAAGAGGAACAATCAAGATGAGCAGCATGAAATTGAGTGAAAATTCATCTTCATCAAATCATTCTTTGATTCATGGTTTCATCCATTCATTCTGCCTTGCATTCATCTCTATCCTATCCCCTGATCTAGAAAAATGAATTGGTGGGGTAACTGGATTGATGGATAAATAGCCGTGAATGAAAATATGAAGAACTTTGAATGAATGAATAGCAAAAAAATATGAAGATGAATACTGAATGAATGAATAGCAAAAAACCAGTGGATTGATGCATGACTGGAGGTAAAATATAGATGAATGTATGGTTGGCATGCAGAAATGAATGAGAGTGAATGAATGAATGAATGAATGAATAAATGAATGAATGAATGAATGTATGTATGAATGTATGTATGTACGTATGTCGGAATGAATGAATGAATGAATGAACGGATGAATACATGAATAAATGAATGAATGAGAATGAAAGATTGAAAAGTGATTGTATGGGAATGAATTAATAAATGAAATGAAATGAAATGAGTGGATGAATGATGAATGAATGAATGACCCTCCCCCTGGAGGGACTGTAGAGTTGATCTTTGTAAACAACTTATCTGTAATTCACGAGGATACAGTCGTAACAGAAGTTCTTGGGGGCGTGGCTAGCTCAAATTTGGGGTTTATCCCGAAAAAAAGTCAAGTGGGACGTGAATAACTCCGCCTTCTTTTTTTACTCCAAAAATTTCAGGAATCCTCAGGGGTGTTTAGTGGGCGAAAGACTGAACCATCAGACGATTTTGAGTTTCAGATGAAAGCGTCAACGTAAGAGCTGAACTCTATGCATGAATGACATGTCGAACGGATGGATGGAATGCATATACATACCCGTCACCAGGTTCTAAATTATAACTCTTCACATTACAATGCGTAAGAATAACCTAGAAAGAAACCAGCCGAGCCTGTCAGGCTCCACAGCTGGTCGTAAGCTATAATTCTATAGCTAGAAGGAGATGCGCTATTCATTCGCGTGTTAAATCGATAGATATCGATCAGTAAACTCTAGCGGAACTGCCTAAACGTTGAAAATGGTGTGAATTTACGTGCTCGGCTTATAGAGGGTTGGATTCAATGGGGTACTTGAGTGAATGACTTTCAGCGATATGGATACTATAGAGCGGATCACGCGGGCATACAAATCCCGCAAAAGCGGATCATACACAGGATTTGACGAATTTCCAATATGGATGTTGTAACATGACGGGATGACTGCTGATATCACTTTGTAACTCGTACTATACGCTCTAAAAACCCTCAACAAAACCTTTTTTCAGTGCAAAAAATCGAAAAATGTACTTTACTAAAAGAAAACTTCGGAAAAAAAATCAGTAGGATACGTGGCGCTTCGCAGAATGAATCATTTTGCTTCTATTTTCAAGGCTTTGAAAAGAATTTTTCAAACGGAAGTGAACGGGCAGAAGGAGACGTTTTAAGTATGATGCAGCAGTGCAAACCTTATATAGTCATCGTAGAACCTTTTTGTCAGTTATTCATAAAAACAGAACATTTAGATTAAATACCCTGATGTTATGTGGAGTTCTTCCAAAGCTTGAGGGAAACTTGTAAATAGAAAGGGAGTCACAAATCAAAACAAAACATAATTTGTAACTATTGGTGGGTGTAGAAGACATGAAATCGATGAGCGCATTCTGCTGTGTGAGAATTTTGATAAAAGGATTATTACCATATCCGATCATTGAAAGCTTTGGAATGCTTATAGCTTCTTTTTACTCCAGTGAAATATATAGGGTAGTCATTTGCAGCTCAAATGTAAAATTGCACACTGCGCGTCACATTCTACGACTGCTCAATATTGAACTTAAGTAATCACCATACTAGAAAAAATGTTCAGGAATCATTGCTCACGATCATTGCTTCTATATATACAACTTGGAAAAAATAAGAAAAGAGAGTTGCCAGAAATTGGCAGCACGTAAATCGTGAAATATCGCGTGTGTTGTGCAGTACACCAATAATTTACGAATGAATCAACTGTACACAAATCGTTTAGTACGTGACTCGGTATTACGTTCAGATAATATGGCGCAATTGCACTGCTAACTACATTTGCGCGTGAAAACATTTATGGAGCATACACTTTCAATGTGCTAGTGCATTTGCACCTCCAAACCCATTTGCGCGTAAAAACGTGGTCACGGAACGCACGAAGCTCCAAAGCATGTACATGAATGTCTCATACTCCCATCAATTTCGCAGGTTTTTGGACATGGCTTGATCGGAAAATATAATTGCGACTTAGTTTTTGCTTTTGAAGGAATGGCTCTATTTCTGACTCCATAAGCTTGCGCGTGCCATAATCTATTTTTTACGCCTAAGTGAGACTTATGGTATAACTGCACTACAGCACCTTCAATTACAAGACCAATATAAAGTGGTCGTAGTAGAGGGCGTGGCCTTTGGTACATTCACTGCAATAATTTCGCTCAAGCAAATCGTACCGGTACAAGGCCAATAATAATTACACTCAGCTTTATACGCAGATGCATCCTCTGATAGAGGGGTATACGTCCCAAACTGATAAATTATATGTACCAAAACTTTTTTACAATAGAAAATAGACCAAATTTTACAAACAAAACTTGCAGCAAACGACGTAATCATTGTTTGTAACACTAAGAGCATATAAGAACAAGTTGCAAAGTAAATTACTCATACAAAGTTAGCCAAATTGCTAAGAAAAACTCTGCAACGTCGGCGCAAGCCACGCCCACAAAAAGTATTACCAACGTCTCTTGTTTCTCGACAACCGTTTTTAACCTAGGGTACTACCTCTAATTGGCCTTCAATAAATGTTACTCACCCTCACGTTGCCAATTCGGCAGCGGATCCCCCCATCGGCTTCGAATTTTTCGCGGTGGTCGATCGAGTTGGTCCGCAAGTACACCATGCATACCAGAAGCCGACATTTCTCGTAGATTCATCATTGATTTACTGGATGTATAAGCCGGCGGTTCACGACGTTTCGAGATGAAGTCGGATTTCGACTCGTCGTGGTCTGATGCTTCTGAAAACCAATATCTTAGAGGTCCTCTAACGAAATTTGGCAAGAGTAATTTACCCCCAGGAACGACGTCCGAAGGCGCGACGAGATTGCTGGTAGTACGTCGAGTTACGTGCGCCGGTTCCGCAATCAACGAACCGCTCCTAAAAGTGAATCTCATTATTTTTTATGGGGATCTATACATGGTCATATAGAAGAAAGAATGACTGAGGGAGAAGATGAATGGTATGCCGAGGTTATTGGAATCGAAGGGGGTCAAAGAAAAATGAAAGGGGTTTTCTCACGATAAATTGGGGTTTTTTGGGACTTGACGCAATTGGGATTTCTGGGACTTGGCGCGAATTCTATATTTTCAAATCTCAAACTTTTGACCTTCAGTGATTCACTCGTCTTTCCTGGAATGAGAGATTATTCCTCCTTCCCTGGCCCTCCTTTCCCACACCAAAGATCCAAAAACCAAAGACTATATACCAAGCCTGTTCGCAACATCACATTACGAATTTAATGTTGTATGGAGCTGACACCTGCCCATCGGGAACAAGCTCGAAAATGCTCGACAAGAAAAAAACATCAGAGGAACAGCCGGATGGTATAAAAAAGACCAGAGATCATCAATTTTGCTTGGTTTTCTGTTGCTACGATCAAGAACAGATGCGGACTAGCAAGGTGGTGAAATCGAGAGCAGATTGCTAGAAGTAACAAGAAATTATTATTTTAATTCAAGCAAATTTTTAAGGCATTTTGAGAAAAAGACAAATAGGTGGATATTTAGCGAATATTTTATCTAATGCTTGAAATGAACGAAAATTCAATGAGGCAGGCTTCCGAAAACTAGTTTGCTTCTGTTACAGCAATTTTTTTTCTTCAATCTGCAAATGCACACAAATATACGCTGCATTTACAGCAAACTTGCAAACTTTTTTGTACTTTTTTCTTTTCTTTTTTCTCATCTCCCCGTTTTTGTTCCACATTTCTGTCGAAGTAATTGGGATGTATCCCTCCTGTGGTGTGGGATAAGAGTTCAAAAAAGGAGCTTTTCTCCTGTGTGCAAGTTGAATTGGTACAACAATGTAGATATCTCAATAATGAGGTCTTATTTTAGATTTTCAGCACTGAGGGAGAATTAAAATGACAGAACTAATTCAGAACCCTAATAGACCTTCAGAAGAGTTTAACACCTAGTTTTCTGAGTTCCCAATCTTTCAGTCCGAAACTCATAAAGCTTTTAATTTAGTGTTCCAGTTCACACTGACACAATCGATCTTTGGTCAGGCAAATTGCTTTCGGTAAACCGATTAACTGAATAAATACCACAGCAGGGTAAAGTTATTCTTGCTTCCACACCTATACTGTTGCAACGATTGGAGGAAGTCAGTGAATTATTTTAACAGATAATCGAACTAGTATTGAATTTTAATAGATGAAATTAGTGTAGCTTCTTAGAAAAAATCAGAACATTTTTCTTCTCACATTTCAAAATTTCAGCTTCTTAAATAAAAGTTTTGCTGGAGAAACACAACATACTTTAACTTAATGAAAAAACCAATAATAAGTTTTCGTTTGCCCGCCAAAAAGGAAATATTGAGCACACGTCATGCTTGATACACCGTCCGCTTAATCCATTTCGTCCACTTCGCTATTAGCCAAATCAGCGAACTAACCAATAGCAAAATAGATTCATGTGGATTAGCTGGTTCAAGTTGGACATCCGCTTCCTTATTGGTCAGTTCACTGATTTGACCCATAGCGAACTGGATGAAGTGGATGAAGTGTCAAGTATGGCGCGTTTCCCGTAAGTAAGCTTTACAAGTTCTAATTAGCAAGTTTTTGGCATCATTATACCAATGGGATGGGCTACGAGAACGGGTAAAAATGCATATGAATTATCCTCTGAAAAAATTCAAAAGCAGATATTGTCCATACAACATTCATGAACTGAATGTGCAAGGCCGCTCTAAGCAACAAAGAAAGAATTTGCGCAAAAAAAAGGAAAAGATTAATCAGCAGCAATTGCTTTGAGCAAGCATTAATTTCCAAAGAACAAATAGGTTAAAGGGTTAATTTCGCGCAAAAATTTTTCCTTTTCTCCCTCCCCTCCTCTTCGAAATGAGATTGTATCAACATTTTTATGCATATATAAAACGACTGATTTCTTAGGCTCATTACGTGTAGGAAATAAGAAGGATGTTTTAGAAAATTTTAGCTCTCCCCTTCCTCAACACGCTGAAGCAAATTACAAAAAACTCCAACCCACCATCTGATCATCAATCCAGCCATTGCAGCTATAGTATTACTCACACTAGCGCAAAATAACACGGAAACGTAGACGAGTTCACGTCGACTGCATTACAAATCAGCCGAGATGGATTAACGTACTCAGCGGGGGAGAACGTACCGGTGGCGGCCGAGTTGCCTCGGACGGCGGGTGCGACGAAAAACCCGCACATGCCGTCGGGGGGGAACTTACGCTAACCAACACATGTGTGTGGCGCAGCGCTGGAGATGGATGGGCACAAAGCTGGAGGGAGTCATAAAGACGGGGTCGGAACACGCAACACACAAAGTTATGGGGGTTGTTAGAGAGTAGCTGCGCCTGATTGGCAATTTGCCAAGCAGATGCAGTCTATAAAAAGGGCTGTGTTCTGATTTGATCGAGTAAAAGACACTCGACGTCCAGCAGTTTTTAGTGAAGCGAGGGGGGTGGGGGGGAAGGGGGGGGGGGAGAAAGAGAGGAAAAACAACTTTTTTGCAAAGTCGAAACCAGCTAACCTCTTCCCACAAGTTTTTGGAATTTTTTTCAAATATCAACACATAAATTTCAGAAGAAACGAAGAGGGAGGGGGGAATCAGGCTACGAAAATAAAATTTTATACAATGGTAATATATAAAAAAGTACAAATTTTAGATTTTGATCATTACAATTAGAAATAGAAACTTTGATAGTCACGTAAATGCTTCAAAAGATTCTGTACATAGATGAACAGTAAACATTAACAGCTTGAGTAAAATAATCGATTCTTAAAAGTTTTAGCAGCTATTTAACGCTATGCCATTAATTTACAAATAAAGCAAGCAATAAGACGTTTCGACTATACTTGTGTACTTACAGATTTTGGATGCTACAGTACTCGCAACGAATTCGCTGATGTGTTCAAAATACTCGCATGCATCTCAGTATGAGCAAAAGAGTAATAATTGTATTACCCACAGCATTTTGCTCCTATACCAGTTATACCAACCCTCAAACACATGGATCCCAAAACAGTAACCCCAGAAAATTCTGGTGGAAGGGGGAAGGAATCGAAAAAGGTGTTTGCAGCAATTAGAACCATATAATCGTTTTCATACACAAGCTTCAACAGATTTGCATCTATCTTCCTCCAACGTGTAGCAAAGGCCTTGCAGCTCTATATGTTTTTTGAACGGAAGTGAAGGATTTTTTTCTACGTCGTGCGGTTTGCAGAATGGAAAAAGCTTGCGCTGCAACAGAAAAAAAGAAGAAGAAACATTCTGAAAAAAACTAATGGTCGTGACAAAGACATGACGCGATAATGCGCAATGCGAGCACTTTTAAAGGCAGCGTACACCCAGAACTTCGCCTTCGATTTTTTTGTCATTCTGGGGCCTTTCCGTGCCCCTGATTACAGTTATGACATTGAAATTCTTCAAACCCCCCAAAAAACCCCGATTTCCGGGGACCCTTTCCCAGAGGGCGGACGAGTTTTCAACTGCTCGGCCCCGTCGGCATGCCAGCATCTGCAACAGCATGACAGCCTGCAGTTGCAACAGCATATGCAGCAGTTGCAACTGCAACTGCTGCATATGCTGTCGTAGTTCGTCGCCCGAAGGAGGCGCACCGCAAAAAGCAACTGCACTGTTGCAACTGCAGTTGCAGATGCAACAGCTGTTGCAACAGGAACTGCAACTGCAACTGCAGCTTACGCTGTTGTGGATCCGTCCGGAGTAGGCGGAGCGAAAGAAAAGGGGAGGATTGAAAGAAAATTGAGGGGGGTTTTCTCCGCCTAGAAGCAACATTGGGAGACCGGACCAACGCAGTTGGTCTTCTCTTGGGCCCAGTATATACATGGTATAGAAAGATCTAGAAAACTGGGCAACTTAGATTTTGGGTGTACGCTGCCTTTAAAGACATTTGATTGATTCAAACATACACTTTTTTTCGGGAGGGGGGGCAAGAGGGTAAAGCAGAGCAAAATCTAGGAAAAGTGTTACATGGTTATGAAAGGTTCGGGTTTGAAATAAAAATTTCATATAGTGCAATTAACTCATAAAAAAGTCAAGGAACTTTTCATCTGCCTATCAGAGCAGTTTGATTACGGAAATACGGTGGATATATGGTAACATAAAATGTAAGAAGCCGCAACAAACTTGCTCAAAGGTTTTGCGGCTTCTTACAGTTCAGTAAATGAAGGATAGGGCTGTTGTGCGATAATGGAACACAATTTGATGAATCACTGAAAACCAATTTGAAAGTGATACATGGCTTGAACAGGTTTGTACCATCCAGTTGTTCAAATCTCAACTCACAAAAGCAACCGTACCGGGATGGATAACAACTATCCAATTCTTTTGCAGACAACTATCAGATGCAGCGGAGTTTCCGCTATCTGCTCTTATCCCCCCCCCTCCCCCCACACCATCAAATCCTGGTTTTATTGGGAAAATTGATTGGGATTTCATAGCCCTGAGTGTAAAACTTGTTTCCATTTATTGGATCATAACTGATGCAAAAAAAAACACATAGGAGAAGTAAATGGAGTAAATGGAGAAGTATGTTTATTAATGATACCATCTTACTCTCCTCCCTTTTTGAAAATAAAATAATTTAATTACTGTTTTCCACGTTCGACTGTCGACAAATCTTGGCAGGATAAAATAATCGTATTATTAAGAAAACGTTAGCCAAATAAATATTGTCATACCATCTTGGCACAGCCGGTAAGAAATACTACAGTTTGAATACTGTTTATTATCTGCTTATTTCTTATGATAAAACTATAGTATGTTCAAAGATGAAACATTTGAAATTTTTAATCAAACATTCTGCCACGTAGACGTTAATTATGTAAACCGTGACTGATTTCCATATAACAGCGTTTTGTTGAAAGTTGTTTTCAAACCGTTT